ACCGTCCCTAATATATCTCCTACTCCCGAACCTCCTCGTGCTTCTCTTTCCATTGCCAAATTGTGTCTACGTGCTTCGGCGTTTGCAGCGGCTTCAGCTTTCTTATCGTTGACAGCTTTGGCTATCCCAGCAGCTCCACCAGCAGTTGCACCGGCTGCAGCTAAACCAGCAAAGATTAAAGGTAAGAAAGGTAAAAATCCACCTTTTTTAGTTAAATTCTCATCAATTCTTTCCAAGTCTATATCGTCTCTGACTTTGCAATGTTTGTATTTATCGATAATCTTTTGGGATATATGCACTTTTTTACCGTTGTAAGTTATTAGAGTCGGCGAATTCGTTTCCATAGCTTCTATTATTTTCATAACTAAAGTTTCTGGTTTCATTTTTAAAGGGTGTTTTTTTTATTCAATTCTTATCATTCTTCTATCTGATATTTTAATCAAATGTTTTGCTTCTTCCAGCAATAAACAGTAGCCGGTCACATCTCCTTGTGTTTTATCGATGTGAATATTTATGTTTACCCCTGTTTTGAAAAGATCTTCTTGATGAGCTGACAGATCGAAACAAAAGATTGGATGATTGAGTGAAAAATCTGTGTATTCAAACTGAGGCGTATTTCCAAACAATTCGCACATGTTTTTATAGTTTCTGTACAATTCGTTGTAATCTTTTTTGGAAGGATCAATTGTCAAAGGTTGATTGGGATAATTATCGTTGTTCAATCTGACTTGAACTTTGCAAATGATGGGATCTTGAGTATGGTTCAATGCCACTCTGAAAACGTTGTTGTTGTTTGTCTGAGAGTCTGGCAAGTTTTTGAAACCGACCATTAGATATCTCGCTGGTTTGACGGTGTTGGTAATTGGCCACGTGGTGGATTCTCCCGTTAAAGTCATGCTACCTACCGTGTTACGACGAAGAAAAGCAATTTCGATGTCTTTGGTTAGAGAGTTGAATATTCTCGTTTCCACTTCTACGGAAGGAGTGATTACCGGTATGTAAAGTTGGATATTCGTTATTTCCAATTTTGCGTCAGAGTTGTCTTCACCAAAGAATATCTTGTTGTCGTTGATTTCTCTTTGCAAATGAATTTTATACGGTAAACCTATGGAAACCTTTCTGTGTTCCAAGAGACCAAATAAAGGATACAACTTCCAATTTACGTAATTACCCCATCTGTTGTTCTCGACGACATTGTTGTATTGAAGCGCTCGTTTTTTAAATCCGTGATTTACTCCGCGAGTCACTCTTTCCAGTGTGTTTCTAGCAACTACCCTTATCCTAGCAAGGTCTGCGTCATTTACTACAGTTCTGACCGGTTCTTTGAAAACTTCTCCGTCACCGACATCGGGAATCCATCCCGAAACTGAATCGTAGTTTTTGGGTTAGAGAACCGTTTTCAACATTGTGTCAAACTCGCTGGGGTGTTTTATGGTCTCTATCGGATTTGAACCAGCTTCCAAAACCATTTCGCTGAATAAAGACGGAAAGAAGTTGTTTTCTAAAGTCGTGTTGGTTTGTGGAATTCGATTCCGAGTGGCGTCTTTGATTTTGAAATCGCATCGGAAAGTAGCAACCAATTGGACAACGAATTAATTTCAAAGGTAACTCTTCCTCCGTCGTTTATTTGGGTCTTTGTCCCTACCGATGGTGAGATGATTACGTAATCCTCTTTCTTCTTGTTGAATGAATATTGAATCGGATCATACAATTGAAAGATTGGATCCAATCTGTAATTTTTGCTTTCCATTTTTATCCAATGATTTTAAACCCTTTTCCTTGTTTTTCTAGGACTTGTCGTTCTAGTCTCTTGTTTCTTATTTCTCTTATTAGCTGTAGTTCTTTAAGTTCGTCAGATTTTTTCACTGCGTCACTTATATTTACTCCTGCTTTTGCCACAGAACCAAGAGCTTGCGCTTCTGAGGAAATGAGGGATTTGTTGTTTGAGACAAAATTGGCCACTTTGGGGATGAGAGATGTTAGCGCAGAGAAGAAACCGTCTCCTTCGAATTTTTTTTGTTCGTGTTTTAAAATTAAAGACATTTTTAATGCGGTTATTTTTTACTGTATTATTATTAGTGATTCTTGTCTGTGGTTTGGGTAATTTATAATACAGTTTGGAGGAGTCTGTTATAATACAGTTTGGAGGAGTTTGTTATAATACAGTTTGGGGAGTCTGTTATACATTTTTAACAGTTGTGTCTTTTCGGATATGATGCATTGAAAAATCTGCGCATGCGCAGACGTGAAATGCGTCATATCCGAAAAGACATATACTACTCAGGCAGTGTATGCTTACTCTTTTAGACACCTTATACCACTTTTCATCATGAAATACTTCCTCGCTAATGATTGATTCAACTCCCCATGTGAAAAGTTCAATAGCTGCTTCAAATGTTTCCCCAATACGTTGTTTGGAATTTGGAATTGCAGTTCAGATCGTTAGTACTGTATTTAGTTTATTTACGCTCCATGTTGCAAGATCGATTACGATGAACTAATTGACACTTTTGGGCAAGGATCTCGAGAATAAACCCGTTACGCCGGCCTGGTAGCCGGCAAACTTGAACGAAAAAGCGAGAAACAATCCCGTAGAATTAAAAACATGATGTAGGTATATATCAGACATTTTTATACGCCCATATTGCGTCACCCATGTCCGTCCGTCCGTCCGTCCGTCCGTCCACAATTGCTCGTAAACACTGTACAAGGCACAATTCTTGACTGATTTCGACGAAACTTGGTATGGTTGTTTGTAATAACCCAGGAATGAACCCTATTGAAAATGAGAAAATGAGAAAAATATTTAGGATGAGTTATTGCCCTTGTTCTTGAAACGCTCGTAAACACTCTAGAAGGTGCAATTCATGACGGATTTTGATGAAACTTTGTGTGAGTGTTTGTAATCACCCATGGATAAACCCTTTGAAAATCAGAAAAATCGAAAAATATTTAGTATGAGTTATTGCCCTTGTTCTTGAAAACGCGTCCAAATTTTAGCTTGTAAACATTCTAGAAGTGACAATTCTTGACGGATTTTGGCGAAACTTGGTGTGAGTGTTTGTAATCACCCAAGGATGAACCCTATTGCAAATCAGACGACTCGAAAAATATTTGCTATGAGTTATTGCCCTTGTTCTTGAATTGTTTGTGGACACGAAAGAGAGCTGGTTTCGTAATGGATTTTGACGAAACTTGGTGTGAGTGTTTGTAATCACCCAAGGATGAACCCTATTGAAAATCAGACGAATCGAAAAATATTTACTATGAGTTATTGCCTTTGTTCTTGAATTGTTTGTGGACACGATAGAGAGCTGTTTTCTTGATTGATTTTGATGAAACTTGGTGTGAGTGTTTGTAATCACCGAAGGATGGACCCTATTGAAAATCAGACGAATCGAAAAATATTTACTATAAGTTATTGCCTTTGTTCTTAAATTGTTTGTGGACACAATAAACTTGGTGTGAGTGTTTATAATCACCCAAGGATGAACCCTATTGAAAATCAGACGACTCGAAAAATATTTGCTATGAGTTATTGCCCTTATTTTTGAATTGTTTGTGGACACGAAAGAGGGCTGGTTTCTTGATGGATTTTGACGAAACTTGCTCTTGACTTAGTAAAAACGCTTCAAATTTTGCTTGTAGCCATGATACAGAATGCAGTTTTTATCTGAACTCAATGAAAGTTGATATGCATGTATATATTGATGAGATCTCAAGTTCAAAAATGGTAAAAATTGGATGAATGGTTTTGGAGTTATGGCCCTTCAATTAATTCATTGCGTCTAATTTGGCTTGTAGGGCTGATAGAGACTACATTTTTTATTCGTTTTTTGATGAAACTGGGTATGAGATCTGAGTAAAGCTTGAAATAAGTAAAAATAGGATGATTGGTTTCACATATTAAACAACTACAGACTTTGTTACTTTGTTATCATTTCTGACAGCTGGTAGTGGGCGTATGTTATCTTGCCTGGCAAGCTATCTTTTATGAAGTTGTGAGATAAGCGCTTTAGACCACGAGTCTGGAAAACATACGCATTTTGAAAGTTAATACAAACTAACGTTTCTTAATTTATTCTGCACATTAAAATTAAATTTATGGTAAAAATGTTAAATTTGTTGACTAGGTAATTGCTATAATCACACAATGCAAAATCAAACAATATTTAAATATTAAATAGGTGAAATGATATTAGTAAATAAAACAGATCTTTACGGAAGCTCAAATACGACATGATTTGGTATTTTTGAATTTCTAATTTGAAAAAATAGTTTTGAATTTGAAATCTTAATTTCGAATTTGAAATTTTAATATTGAATTTGAAAAAATAATTTTGAGTTTAAAATCTTAATTTTGAATTTGAAAAAATAATTTTGAATTTGAAAAAATAATTTTGAATTCGAAAAAATAATTTTGCATTTGAAATCTTAATTTCAAATTTGAAATCTTAATTTCAAATTTGAAATCTTAATTTCAAATTTGAAATCTTAATTTCGAATTTGAAATCTTAATTTCGAATTTGAAATCTTAATTTCGAATTTGAAATTTTAATATTGAATTTTAAAAAATAATTTTGAGTTTGAAATCTTAATTTTGAATTTGAAAAATTAATTTCGAATTTATTTTCTATTTCAGTGACTGGTGTATTCAAGATTATATATACTATACAAACGAGCCTGGTCACTCTGACTGAAATGGTTTCCTATGGAGACGCCAATTTTATTAAGCGACTGCATCGCCTCTTGCGGCTGGATGCCAAACTTCGGAAAGCCAATGCCCGGTCCCTTAATTGCTTTGAATAAAACTGTTTAAAACTCAAGTACTACGTCCATAAAACAATCGCGTTGGCTCAGTATATTAGAGGCGTTTTTGCTAATCTGAATGTCCAGGGTTCCATCCCGGCATGGGTCTTGTTGATACCTTGGGATTTATCAACCCGCTGTCCCTGGCTGCGAGGAAAAGGCGTCTAGTTGTGCGGATGGGACATTAAACCGAGGGTTGTGCAAGTTGCAAATCGAAAATAAGAGTAAATTAATGCTGCTATCCTGGCAAAATTTCTCTTATTGCACACTGTATGGCCATGGCCTTGCCTCATTAGCCTAAAAGGGTGAAAAAAGTAGGACGTAAATTTTGTCGATTTTGTCAAAGCAAATTTATATATCAGCTTTAAATCACTAATCAACTTGGAATCCTTCCGTTATCAGAAACACACTTCCCTGCCAGAAATGTCATCCAAAAATGGCCTTGACTCATTGACATTGTGTTTCAATTCCCCGAAAATGAACAGAGACCCAGTTATGTAACTCATTTTGTGAGATTTACAGGCACATGCAACATATTGCATTGTGATATTACCCGGCCCCTTTTTACCATTAG